TTCTAATTTAGTCTAGACTTAAGTTGCATATCGCTATAGCAGAATGTTAAACACGTTCCTCGGAAATAAAGATATTCAAGTTAGAAGAGTCAATCAATAGGTTAACATGACATGACAAACGTTAGAACTAAGTACTGTGTTAAGATGTTTCAGATTCCCTTTACATTCACAACACTCAACTGTTATCACGAAACATGAGGAAAACACGAGAGATGTCAAGGTCAGCCATTAATACAAATTGAGATCATAATTGTTTGTTAAAGGTCTCTGAAATACGTATTTCTTCAAGGTTATCAAAAGTATAAGGTCATTCATTTTCAGGGTCAAATACTGAATACCAATAAGGCAGCATTAAAAACTGAATTCTTTAGTACATGTACATGTACGACATGTACTTTAAAAATAAGTTTGCATACATATTGTTTGCTCTGATTGTTTACTCCATTACTTTTTCTTAATCTTAATATGAACTTGTTTACTAGCACATTGTTCATCCATTTACCCCTATCTTAATCATACTTTCAGTTTTATTGAACTTAGATAATGTAGAGCAATTACAGAGAGGGGGGGTATTCTCTGAACTAAATGAACATGCATATATCAATATAGATGTAACATCCGGAATACTATTGAATATTTGACCATCTACCAGTACAAATTATATTATAGTTATTAATTTATCCACATTTACATCATTTAGTATCTGGCTATATCTGGTATAAGTAAGATTTCAATACAATTGTAAGTAAAAGATCATCAGAAATTTTGGACGATTTTTTTCTTTTTTTAGTTCTCGTTGATAGGTCTATATTTTGAATATTTGAATGTTTTAAGAAAAGTAACGATTTTTAGCATTGTATATACATGTATTGATGAAATAAGTTGCATATAAAAAGTTTTTTATTATCTTAATCCTTGATGTGATTGTGGCTTTAAGGAGTCATTGATGTTTTATAAGAATTAATAATTCAATTGCTTTTTACTTAGTTGCGACAAAGTTGAACATCTTTAAAAATGGCTAATTAGCCTAATTAGCTTATTGGAATAACATTTTTAACTCACCTTAAGAGTTGATACCCTATTACCTGTCAAGAAACCACTTGTCTTCTACCATGGTGCGCCAAATTAGCTGACAATGACGACAAAACTAAGAACTCCTCTCATATGACTTGTAAACCCTCACTCTGTCTAGAAGGGAGGTGGGGGGGTGTTTCAGATTTCCGCCAAAAACCACGAGGGAATTTGCACGCAGACGTCAGATCTCACATCCGTTTCCTGTTCTCGAAAACGAGACTAAATTAAAATATTTGATAATTTTAGATTTTCAATACATTACCAGACTTAAAAACAGAAAAAACTACTCCTTAAGCCAATAAAAGCAATTAATAAACATTAATTGTGTATATATATAAAATTTTCATATTATGATTTTAATGGTCATTATGTTTTTTTTTAAAATTATTTTAACTTTTTGACATTCATGACCTTCACGAAAGATAGTATTCAAGCAATGTTTTGAAATAAAATTTGTGATTCTTTTGACCTGGACAGCCTTGATGGTTAATTTTGCATGGAGGTAACTAGAGTCAAAAACATAAACAAATTAAAACACAGATAAGAATATACATAATGTATTAGAACATATGTTATTGTTGTCTTATTGTTAATCAATATCTTACAAGGGTACTGAGCCGATGATAAGTACTATGTTCAAGAAGCCTGTATATGAACACCTTTTCTACCATTTCTCTCAAAATTTGAATTGTCCTCTTCATACTTCTGTATTTTTATATAATTAACTGTATGCTTATTTATTTTCCATTGCTCTGATTCTACTCTTTTCTACTATATCTTGCAATTCAAAGCTAACCATTGTAAGATTTTAAGTTTAGGTGAAGTCTCCCTGAACACTCATGTTATACATCATGTGATCTTCAGACAGCTTAACATGCTTAACATGTCCTTATATGTAGTTCATCGAGGTGCTTGGTTTAAAATATGAATATATAAGAGAAAACCCTATGAACGTTAATATCTTTCCATTACTTATAATCTAAAGAATACCCTTAGTACATAAGGTCTAATATGAACATCCATCTAGCAGTGTTCGCGCTAGCCATTTAAATTTCTGAGTCCCAGGGACCAACACATTTGAAAAATGTGAGTCCCGTCTAATTTTTTTGGCGTCCCTAATATTTTGTTATTAAAGTGAAAGTAAAGTGGGCGATAATAGAGTGCTTACGCTAAAACTGGATAAAATGACATATATTGTAATTCTATGCATTCTCCCGATAAATATCTATCATTTGGTCCTTTTCACACAATTCTTTACTAATGCTATACCAAAATTCTCCGAAATGAATGAAAGAAATACTCAAATTAAGAGTTGTTTTCACATTTTACCAACATTTTACCAACCACCGATCTTCAATGTCGTGTCAAGGTCGTGAACTTTTTTTTCTTTTTATAACATTTCTCCTTACTCTGACGACTTTTAGATGAAAAACGCTGATCTATCATTAAATAATTATATTGATGTATAACATTCAATCGATATCTAACGGTAAGTAAGCTTAATTAAGATTATTGTGAAAAACAAGTCTCAATTTTGAAACTAATGTTTGCGTACAACAGATTATCCAGCTTCGGTATACTCCGGAATGACTCAGAGGGCACCATAGCCAATCAAATGCTGTGTTTCAGACTAGAAACCCCGCGGATATACTCCGGAAGCCAATCAGATTTGCCGACATAAACATTATTGAGATCAAGGAAGTAGACGATTTGAAAATTCTTCAGAAAATCATGTTTTATCACTTCTACGCTGCAGTAAAAGTTACCTGATGGTGGTGTAGAATCTTTGCGTCCCAGGGACGTAAGTTATTTCTGATTTTCCCGTCCGACCTCTTGAAATTTCCGTAAAAACGAGAAAAAACGGCGTCAACGCGAACACTGATCTAGCCATAATGCAGTAAAACCTGTCTATTCCAAAGGCCACTCGGACCAGCCAAAAGTGTTCATATTAGCAGCTGTTCACATTTTAAGGTTTCTTAATAATGTAAAACATTATGGGGATAACAAAAGTGTGGCTAAGAAGTGTTCACATTGAGATATGGTAAGATAAGAGAGGTGTTCAGATATTCAGGTTTTACTGCTCTAATGTGACCACCTCTCTATCACTTGTAAACACATCCATACTCCATTTTACACTAATATGAACACCCAATTTACTATGAGCACCTTTCTAGCATGAACATCTGATTCATGAACACTCTTAGCATCAGCAAAGCTTAAGAGAACAACTCTGATATGAACACTACACATGACTGTGTTAATATATTTTTCTCATATTATACTTTTCAATGTTTTTTTTCAATTGATGCTCTTTTTAGGTAGATATAAAAATACAAAATAGCTGTAGTAAATACACATTAACAGTATTATAAATGGGTGTATAGAATTGGTAAAAACTTTTTCATTGCTTTATTGACATTAAAAGATTCACTGTTTTGTTAATAAAAGCCTGCTTTTCAGATAAGTCACTGAAAACTCCATAGCATTTTGACTACAAACTGGATATAGAATTGTTTTTTCTACTTTACTAAAATGAACTTAAACTATGAGAGAGATTTAACCTTTAGCAGACCACCGGCGACCGCGTCCGCCCATTCAAAACTACCCCCAGAATCCACCGGCGGATCCGGACGACAAAAATCTAACTTTTGAAAACTTTACTTTTTCCCGCCGTTCTTATGATCCAATTAGATTGCCCGATTTATTCAGTCCTTAGTAGGTGACTTCCTGTTGACCTAGAAATGGCGATGTTTCGAAAAATATTTCTCAATTCAACAATTCAACAGTGTTTAAGTCGTTTTTAGTGAACAAATCGTACAAAATGACGGCCAAATACGATCACAACGAAAATGTGGAGGAAATGGATTGCGATTTCGAGCTCTTTAGGCTCTTGGAAGCCGATAATGGTCATCGAAAATAGAAACTAGAATATTTTCTGAACTGAAAAGAAGAACATTCGATCTCTGCAAATTCAGTTTTGGATTCTGACCAGACGTTGAATCTCCCGAGGGGCGAAACGGCGGATTCTGGAGGAGTATTCATGGTATATTCAAGCCCAGTCGTGTTTATGTACGAAAAAAATTCATGAGAACATTTTTCTCATGAGCCACGCTAGTGTATCTTCCCTTTGTGAAAATTTTATCCAGGTTCATTCAGTAGTTATTGAGATATTAATTATTTAGTCCAGGCATATCATTTTTGAAAAATAAGTCAGATGCGTGGGATATATTTGCTGAAATAAGTCGGAGTGCAGAAGGTTAAAGGGGTTATATAGATTTCCTATATAATTCTCCAGGCATCTTGTTAAAATAATGTAAGTTCATGCCTAACTTGGTAGAATTTCTACAAAGTAATTGGTATCTGTGGTTTGATCAATACAGTAAAGTATAATGCAAAAAAGCTAAAAATGGTATGTAATTCTGATGGGGTGATTTCTATTGTGGTTTATTCATAGAGTGAAACCTGTGTGATTGCCTACTGTAATGGCTTGCTATGTATTGCAATGGACAAAACATATTTTCGGAGTCCATATCAAAAATCATGTCAATCTATGTGATAGCAAAGCAGCTTTGTTCTAACTGGTGCATTAATTGAAGCAGGGAATTAATTCTGCTGTGAGACTGAAGCCACGGTGTCATCTAATGAGTGATGATATCTTGACGAAGGTGTTGAACCCCGCCATGCTTTTTAGTCCATCGAGATATGTTCACATATATGGTAAACATGTTACATTGCATTTAAATATACATACTGATTCATCGATGCTTTTATAGTTATATAAAAAATATAGGCATTTCTTTGAGTTTGTGAATAACTAAGTCTAAAAAAGTTGAATATTCAACAGTTGAATGCTCATCATAAGGTGCCCAAACAAGCAAACATCAAGAAATGAATAATTATATGCAATGTTTTCTATATACTTGCAGGAGCGACTTGATGCCCTACTGAAGAAGGCAGCAGACAGGGACCATAAGTTAAATGCGGGGAAACGAGGTACACAAAAACAGTTTGCGTTTGGTAGTACATTAAGACGTGCCGACTGCCAGTCCTCTATTGATATATCCCGGCGAAGCATTTCTCATGCAGCGCTATCAAATTCCAAAAGTTCTCATAATTTGAATCATGTGCCGTCTTCATCTGACGGGAAAAGTGAAACCGGAGGAAAGTTGCAACTGGGTAGAAGAGCTGTGTCCTCTATGAGCTTAAACAAAAAGCCTGCCGCAAAGCATGGTATGCATGGTCTTGTGTACGCCATCTTGGAAATTGCACCATGGGTAGAATTTCATATAAATATTTCATTTTAACAATATTTATTATAATATTGTTACACTCATGAGTCATGATGCTTTTTCCAATGTTGGCGTTTATGAGACAGTAGTATTGTCTTTATTTTTATTTTTTAATTAATATTTTCTGATGCATATTCCTTTAAGTTATATCATGGTCTCTTAAAATGTATTCTTTTCCTCAAAAATAATTGTCTGATTTTTTCACTTTTTGTTTGATGGCCTTGTTCATGTATTTTTTCTTTTTTTCTTAGATGTTTTATGCAGTAAGGCATGCATACCATGATATATATATATAAGGGTTATGCACAGTTGTAGAGATGCTTTCAGTGAACGTTATAACATATTTTGTTACATTCTAAATTATTTTAAGCTGTTCTATTTCAGTAACGCATTTACCAATCATAAACACATGTGATTTGTTGAAATTTATTTGATTTTGATGCATGTTGAATATTTCGTACCAAGCTGCCATGTTGTTGAAATGCTGAAACTTTTGTTCACTGAAGGTTTTCCTACGATGAAAAAAATACTAAAAATCAATGCGACTTTCTATTAATTTAATAAAAAATTGGATTAAATAGACTTAGAGGCACAACTGGTAGATGAAAGACAAATCTGTTGTGCTTAAAATTCCATTTAGGTGAATCATAAATGAATTGATATTAAGTCGTATTTTGCTTGTCAACAGATATCATTTACTATTGCTAGATTTAAATCACATACGAGCTGAATTAATTTGATAGAAACGTATCATTTTTGAATGATAGACAAAAACAGGTAAATAATCACTGCCTAATCACCTTATAATATGCCCAATTTTACTACTTGTAAAGAAAACAGAAAAACAGAGAAAATTTGAAGCCTTTCATGATAACATAGTATTGTTAAAGATATATTTTCAATTTGAAATGATAATTGATGATCCATTTTTCTGCCGCAACCAAGGTGTTAGATGGGATCTCACTCAAAATCAAGGTAAAAATAGAGCAACACTGAAAAAACATTTCTTTAGAATATTTATGAGTATAGCTGTTATGAATTTCTAAGAGATGCATACCATTGACTTGATTTTTGTTCTTCTTTAATTCATACCTGAATTGATGTGAAGTTACCCCAAATTAAAATATTTTAATGTTTAAGACGTGTGCTCTGTTACTTTTTGAACTCCTAGTATTTTTGTCTTTTGGTAGGAAATGGTATCTGTTGTATATATGTTTGTTTACAAATCCCTGTAACTCCCAACTTGTCAGTGTTTCATGTGACATTCTCAAATTTGGGATCATATTTGGGATTTAAAGGGAAAACGGTCAAATTTTATTTTATTTATATAAGATGTATTGTATAGTGTTAGTGCTTCATACTAACGGATTTGCTAATCATAATTTTATTCCGAATCAAATGAACATGTAATATTTTATGATTAGCAATATATATTAGCAGAACATAATTGATATTCCTGAATACAATTTTTAAAATGCTTTATACAGTTATATGAAGTTTTCAGATGACAATAATCTGTAAAAAAAATTCATGTTTCTGTATTTTTATACTAGAATTTTTTGCACTTTTATCCAAATTCAGAGCTTATCATCAACAACTCTTGCTTGCTATGATTTTTATATGTACCCCAGAGTATGTTTTACCCACACATTCTGATTTTAGAGGTAAGGCCCAAAATGTTCATATTTGTTATATTTTAAAGGATAAACATCAATTAAATCAAGATTAAGTATCATTTTGGGCCTATACTTATTTTTGTATTTGTGGTACCCATTGTTTCAAAATTGTAGAAGTATCTAAATTCTGTTCTTATTGAAATGTTCTTGCTTAGATATACCGTGCTTAAACACCGCTTAATCCACTGTGCTTAAATCAAACACAATTATATGCTTTTTCAAAAGTAGCCCTTGTTAAGTGAGCTTATAGTTGAGACCGCTATATTACATCACAAGCTTTACTCTTATGTGTCATGCTTTCAATATGAAAAATTACCCTCTTAAGCTCAATGGAACAGTTTCTTACTATCTCTATAGATGCATTTTTTGAATATCATATAAATTACCATTTCAAATTTTCAATTGTGTTTCATGATGTTACTTTATCATAATAGACAATTGAATTTCATGATTTTTTTCAGAGAAATAGACCCCTGTTGTATTAAGCTTTAATAAACATAGTCGCGTACTTAAATTTTGAGAGATTCCCAGTAGGTTTGCTATGCTGATTTTCATTTAATCAAATTTCGATTTCACAGATGCTTCTTAAAGTGATCTCTTTATAAGTGCCACTAATATTTTCATATCTTAGAATTTGCGATTTTAAGTCATTAGTCAAATATAACCCAATGATAGATCGATCCTAAGTCTGTTGATAGCAAAGCTTTGTGATAATATTTAACCTGATGAAAGTTGAAATAGTGTAAATTTGATAATATCCTATTTTGCAAACTACTTAATGCAACTAATGTGCATAAATATGCTTCTTAATCAGCATACACAGAAAAATAAGTATTATAAACAAATGAACAGAATTTATTTACTATCTATTATTAAATATGTTGGTAAACATTTCTGTCTGATACTGTTTGTGTACTTGGCTAATGGAGAAATGGATATAGCTTTAGGTGCTAGCTCTATCTTTTTTCTTTTTTTTATCCTAAAAGTTTTTATCGAGCCTTTTGATGCTATTTTGTGATCAGTTTGCCGGGCGGTCGGTTAAGTGGGTGGGTGGGTGTTCCAATTAATCTTGTCAGTATTTATTATAATTTGAAAAAGCTGAAAAAAGAGTAAATATTTGAATTGTTGATATATTGAATCAAAAATCATATTATAGAAATTTTCAGTTCTATAATGTTAGTTGGTATGCAAAAGAATTTTGAAACATAAAAGAGTCATTTAGATGAATAATTCTCTTTTCAGTGTTATAAGTACTTTATGCACAGTGTATACTTTTAGTGAACTGGACTTCTCTAAAAACGAAACCTTTTCTTTGGTTAAGTTTTTCAACAAAATTTATACAAATGACCACTATAAATTAATGATATAGAGCTGGAGCTTAAGGCATTGTCTTATGATCCACAAAGCCATATAGTCACGCCATCTATATGTTATTTTGCCACATGAATGTATAAAGAGTAAAGTTCATGATTTTGGGAGGGAGGGGGGTACTGATTGACAGCTCAGTGCTAGTATTGGGGCATGTATCTTGTATAAATTGGTATGAAAATCATGTTTCTTAACTCTGAGGCCACTGCATGTTTCCACAATTAAAGACCTATTTTATACCCACTATATGAGCCATTTCTTAAACATCAGTGTCTAGAGCAAACTTTTCCAAAAATGTTCATATGGAAATACATACATGTAATTCAATTCAGTTACATACATAATGATCCATATTGATTTTTTTAATTGAATTTATACATTTTATCAATCAATGGCACTTAGGGGTTGCCATACTTCATTTAAGAAATGGGCTCTCAATAGTATATATATAAGTATAAAATGGGGATTTAATGTATGATGTGCATTTTGTACTAATTGCCTTACCACCCCAGGCTTGAGTCCTGAGAGAAGTCCCAGTAAACGTCTCTCCCAGTCTACAATTGGCCTCAATCGTAAATCCAGCAAAGAATTTACGACGTCAAGTCTGGCTAGTTCAAGAGATTCGCCGGGTAAGATATTAACCCTTGCAATTTGTTTATCAAAAAGGTCCTTGCAAATATCCTGATTTCCCCCCAAAAATGTTCATAAATTGTGTTATTGTTTATTCAGGAAGGAATTTTGATCCATTGACTCAATTAAAAATATACGGAAATTACAATTATCAAGACAAGTCATGAAAATTGCAATGTTGTGATACAATGCGTCACTGTCGTTTTGTGAATTTATTAGAGGGTAGTCTTTTACAGCCTAATACCTGCTTTGCCAATCAGCTGAGAAGATTCATAAGGAGTGAAGCATTATGGGATTGATTCTCACCCTGTTGTGACCTACTGTTCCGTGTAATTAAATTGTTTCCTGATGATGTCACGGCCCATTTCTCTGTCATGTCTTCTATTTATAAATAACTACAAACTTGACAATACCTTCTTACCTAATTTTTTGTCCCAGTTATATTCATTGAATTTTATGATCTCAATACCTGTCCCTTTCCAATGCTATTCTTTATGGTGTCCCAGTGGGGCCTTTCTTAACCTTGTCTTCTCTATCATCTTCACTGGTCATTTTATTGGTTAGCTCTGGTTCTGATACTGTATGTGTTCCTCAGAATATATCAGGTTCTAATGTGTTCTGATGTACACAAAATCACGGGTTGATAGAACCAGGCAGAGCTGATCTTACACTTTTGTGTTGACTAATAATTAAAATTTTTTATTATTTATTTATTTGTTTTATATTAACATTAATGAAATATTAAATGTATCAAAGTTGGTGGTGTAATAATAATAATCTTATAATATATTATAATATTATATTATATCACCAAATATAATATCATCAGGTTTCATTCCTCATTCTTCATTTTTTAAGAATTTTTATTTATGATTTTTTTATGAAATTTTATACCTTGTAGTTTGCACATTGTCCTGGCATATATACATGTATAGATATACTTAGTACATATAGAATAGATAATGCTTTGCACTGCTATATTTGGAGCTTAACATAATAGTCTGCCTATCTAGGTCAGCCACCAGTTCAA